CATGTAGGTATATTATAAATTCTACAGAAACAGAATATTTATTATGCCAAATTTATCTACGAACCAAGACATTCAAGTATGTGCCAAGCATTCCAGCTAGAATGATGATGCTCTCCCGTAGATGCCTAAGAACCAAATGAAATGGGTAAATTTGTTGTTCAAAAGTAAATAACTATACATAAATAGGATCAACTCCCACCAATAAGAAACAAGTATCAAACATCAAGGGAAGAGGTAAGTCCACGTCAGATAGATACTACATCTGAATTTTCATCAGCAATTAATAAAGATAAAATATTAGAACCCAATCAAAACTAAAATTTTTCCCATTAATACATATTCTCAAGCCTACTGAGAGTAATTTTGATGGTGATTTCAAATATCAAGAGATCAAACAACTACAAAAATTAATATTACACAGAAATTTTATCTTTAAATGAAATGTATGAAGCTCCTTTCTTTTCAATCTCCTCAGCACATCCGACACTGTTAAGTGCTTATTTACACCTTGTATAATTACCTGGCAATTAATATGAACTAACCAGTCCATGTTAACACACTAAAAACAGCTATCCTGAAACAATCAATTGTCAGAAGTACATGTAAACTCGTTTCTAGGAACTAAATTACTTGTTGATATAAGAGTAGATGCAACAAATTCCTTTGAATTGGATGCTACTAACATCTTCAAGTACATACGATGAAGTCACATAAAAAAACAAGCAAAATAAGAATCCTGTCAAGAAATACCTGATATTCATGATGAAAAAGACAACTCTAATATACGGTGCAACTCTGAATGGAAGATAATCAAAGGCCACTGGTGACAAATATAGGGTATAAATGAGAAAATCGGCCACCAAAATAATTAAGCATATGACCTGGAGAACGAGGAAGATTTAGAATTAATTTCTTAAAAAGCACAACATCATAGCCACGAGAACCCGATAGAGTAGTGGCAGTTCATAATGACTTGCATTTAGGAAAGAAATAAAGATACTGTACTTCTTCTATATTCAAATCAATACAAGGTCTTCTTACACAGAAGAACGATCATCTACCATTAAGGAAAGAATATTACAAATATAAATAATAAATATAGACCCATAAAACAAACCTAATAATGCAAAAGAATAAAGGAAATCCAACGATAATAAAATATGATAACCCACCATTTCATCTTTTCAGCAATGTAATTCTGAATGTTAAGTTCAATTTCAGCCTATCTAAATAATTCAGTTAAGACAATAAATGTTACATTTCTGATCAATCATTTTAGTCACTTCACAAACGTTTTGTCTTTTCTAAAAAACATTCATCTATGCATAATTGCCAAGCTCAAGTTCGATTCGGGTATAAGAAGACAATAATTTATGGGAACCCTTTTGAGATTAGACAGTAAGGGCATAAGGAAGTTGTCTGCAGGCTCAAATTACTCGGAACATTGAAAATTGAATGTTTTCCAACAACCAAGTATCAAGCCTTCCAGTTCGGTTAAATTACTTTGAGGATATCTATCAAACAAAAGAGACATTGAGCGAGTACCTTCAACTGGTTCAAGGGATTTTTCCAATAAAGCTGGGCTCCTTCAAACGAAATTGGGAAAAAAGTGTGTATCATGAGTATTATGAGAGTCACAGCCTGCATATTGCAAGTATAAATTCGATGAAACAGAAAGTGAGTAAAGTGAAAAGTGGGAGATTAAGAAGACTGAAAAACTGCACAAGATTGCGTTCCCTATGCATGGTGGTTCTTAGAGTTATAGATAATCTGAAAAATTAACATCTATCATCACCTGAAGAAGCTTTACACATTGAACTGTTTCTGAATATCGATTGAGCAAACCAAGAAATTTCATTGCCCGTTCAATTAAAACATGAAACTTTAAAAATAAAAAATAAAAAAAACTCAACATAACGGCTTTTGCTTGTAATGGAATTGAATATCACTTAGCTACTTATAGTATCGAAGGTCCTCTAAAAATATAACATTTTCAATGAGTGAGGTTCCGCCAACAGTAGAGCTTTACATTAAAGCATCTGGTTGACGAGCAAAGTAAACAGCATGAAGAATTTTTCTACACATTTATATTTGCTATTATAAAGCAGCACCTCATTCTTCTCCAATATCATAATTTAGTTTTTTCTTCGGCTTATGTGCAGTAGCGTTCATAGATACAACTCATAGTGGCAATTGCAAGGACGTGTAGGTATTGAAACTACTGAGAGAATGCAGTAATGTAATTCTACCACCACCTATCCCTACAAAACCATAACATGAGGAAGTCTAATTCGATTGGAGTAAAAGTAAGAAGATTAAAGAGAATAATATCTTAGTTTATTTAGATTATTCTTACCTCATATATAAGAGATTCAACAGCTGTTAAGTAAGGCAACTGCCCAAGAAAGAAATACTCTCTGTCGTTACAAGAATGCGTATCGTATTTGGAGCACCACAAGGGTTTCTGCAGATGTTTATGTATGTTAAAAAATGAATGAAAACTTCTTTTCACATCTGAAAGCAAAAGGAATGTTAAAAAAAAAAATGGAAGAACAAACCTCAAAGAAATTTAGGACTACCAGCGCAAAGAAATTTACAGACCAAATCAAATCAAATTTAATAAAAATGAAGTAGAGCTTTGCAGCACTCTGAAAGTTCGACTGATCAAGGATTTTCTCGGGTATACCAACGCCATCTTCAGCCTGCAAAATTCATTCTCCATCAGCAGTGACCAAATGTTCTGTCAGCCAAGGTTCAAAGTAAAACTATATCATTTTTCCCATCTCTGAAGGAATCCTTGATTCATAGATGAAGTTAATGGTTAGCAGTAATAGTGAGCTTAATTAATAAATATTTCACACAAAATTGTACCGTTTCAAGGCATAAAAATAGAGATGAGAACAAACACTAACAAATAAGAAGAACAGAGTCAGGGAAACTGTAAATGTAGGGGCAACATTTTAGAGAAACATTTATTTTGCTCTTTCCATTCTAGCATTTATCTGTCCTCGAAGAAATATAGTGAATTAATGAGTTGAAGGAATGCATATGTAGCCAAAAGCAGAAGATCTATTTCGGAGAAATCCTGGCATGTTTGACAAGAAAAATAAGTAGAGAATATACCTTCTGTTAAACTAACGAAATATAGAGATGCCAAATAGAAATTATACTCAGTTTTTCGAATAACGAAAAGTAAGACCGTCGATTCTCAGAGAGAAAAGTTAATAACGGGAATTGGAAACAGGATTGGAGCTCAGAGGGAGGGAGAGAGCATATCAAGGAATGCTGACTTTATATTCAAGCTAGAAAACAGGAAAACAAATCTTCAAAGAGTTCCAAAACAATCTCACCACTAAACCACTCCAGCACCAAGATCATAATGAAAATCACTCTGAACTAACTTCCAGGACACTGAGTCAAAATTCACAAAACCATATCTCAAAAGGAGAAGCTCAAGACTCAGATTCCATGAACCAGATGTCAAAAACAATCCAAAACAGATCCCAATCCATCACACTTCAAATAGCCAGCTATAGTCAAATTAACGAATCAAGGATCACATTATTCACTCAAATGACAAAAACCAGAACACATTTCCAACGCCAGTGAAAGAAAAAAAAAGAACACGAGCGAGAATCAAATATGGCAAAAGAGTCTAACCAGATCCACGAGTGCAGCAGCTCTTTGGTACGCAGAGCCATAAGCGATGGCGTCGGAGCGGCGCTTGAACTTCACATGAGGAATCTGACGTCGAGAGCTGGAGCTGCTGCTACTTTCTACACCGAGCAGAGATTCATCCATATTCTTCGAGGCACGTCGAAGACTTCACAACGAACTGACTGATCTCAGAGGGAAGAAAAGCGAGGCAAATTGGAAGTTGATCGGGGAGCTTCAAGTTGGCATTATTATATTAGAAACAAATTGGCTCCACTGAACTAGACATCGTTGAAACTTGGAATTTACGGGATTGCCATCCTACTGGAAGGATAGTGACATGGCAGGACAGGGTGGCATGCCACGTGTAATTGTGGATTGGGGACCGTTTAACTATGTAAGATATTTTGCTTTTCTTTTGATGGACAACTCAACCAATCATATCATAAGCTTTGACCTTTAAACGGAATGACTCATTTATCGCTCTTAATTTAAATATAGTTCAACTAATATGTTCGATTTTTTAATTCTTTATTTTACATTTTGGAATAAAAAAAATGATAGTTCGACAAACATATGATGTGAAAGGCGCAAGGCGATTTGTAGTTCAAGTTCACTTCTAGTAGATACTGTTCACTTTGGCTCGTTACGTATCGTCATTGATTTCACAGTTTTAAAACGCGTTTATTAGAGAGAGGTGGGAGGTTTACACATCCTTATAAGGAATGTTTCATTCACCTCTCCAACCAACGTGAGATCTTACAATCCACTCTCTTGGGAGTCCAACGTCCTCAGAGAGGTTTCCACCTTTACAACCAATGTGAGATCCAACAATCCACCTCATTGGGATCAGTGTCATCAGAAAGGTTTCCACACCCTTATAAGGAATGTATCGCTCCCCTCTCCAAATAACATGGAATCTCACACTCCACTCTCCAACCAATGTCTTACCGTCCACCCTCCTTGGGGGCCAACGTCCTTGCTATCACACCTCCAGCAACCTCCCACTCTCTAACTTTAATACCATTTATAATAGCCCAAGGCTACGCTAGCAAATATTGTCCACTTTGGCCTATTACGTAAAGAATCCCAAGTGTTCCAAAAACCTGGTTTTAAGAAGATTAGATAAGGAAACTGATAGACGCCATGGAAAATAATGCACTCAAATTCTCCACCGGTGTGATTGGGACCTCAGCTCAGAAGAAAGGGACTGCTCAACGACCAGTATGTATGGAAGTAAATACAAATTGAAATATAGCAGCTAGATCACTGCCCATTTTCAAAATTGCTGTTCCTTCGAGTCTCGAAAGAACCCCCACATATTCGGATCTCGAAAACGATTCAGGTAAGCAAAATCGGAAAACTTGGCAGTAAAAAATGATGATAACAGCTAAACGTTCAAGTAAACATCCAGAGGGAATCATATTGAAAATTTTGAAAATGCAGGTAGAAGATATTCACACAAGGTTTCTCACAAACCAGAACAATATACGAGGCTGGTCATGGCCAGTATCGACTGCAAACAGACGATGATTAAATTACTCTCACCACGCTCTTTGTGGACCTGGACTTGCAGAAGAACTCAACCTGTCTAGAACTCCGTTGAAGTCAACAGGTTCGCCACGGTCCTCCATTCGCTGAATTATACTGGCAACATGGTCGCCCCTGAACCCCATGCCGACCAGTTTCTCAATCAAATGTGAATGGCTCGGGTTCCTGGATGAAACGGGAGGGACTGTAGCAGCCTGAGGAATCTGATGGGGTGCATCGGCCGGAGGATATCCACTTTGGTTGAAGTGCGGTTGTTGAGGCGGATGGTGCGGCGGTCTTCCACTTTCCCTGTCATACATCATATATGCTGGTTGTCCAGGGGGCAAATATCCCTCACCTGTCGCTGGTCCATAAGTGTTTTTTACTTGAGGAGGTTGCTGTGGAGAAGAACCACCACTTGCAGCTGCATATCCATAAGGCACCGGGTCCGGGCGACTCGAACCCGGATTAGGAATAGATGCGAAAGACATGGTGCTTGACAGAGTCTCTGGCACAGAACTCGGTTGATTCGGTGGATAAGGGTAGCCTGAAGTAGGGGGTGGTCGGATCTGAGGTTGCATAGAAGACTGCTGTGGTGGTTGTGGCTGCTGCGATGGCACCTGCGCCCATTGTTGGTGATATTGATTGAATGGTTGTGGCGGAGATTGACTTAGTTGGGGATTGGTCGAAACATCTTGAGGTTGCAATGCCCGGTGTTGGGGATCGGGTGAGATATATTGGCCCGGAGCATGCTGGATATGGGGTGGTTGACCAGACAATTGGGTCGGAGAGATGTAATACGGTTGCTGTTGAGGCACGTTCGGAGGCAAAGTCGCTGAAGCGGGTGCAATAGGATTTTGCTGTGGGACAATCTGATGTGGCAAGGCCAAAGCTAATTGCTGGCCGTGAATCTCGGATAGATTTTCATTCTTTTTAGGATCAGAAGCTACGGATGAAGCTCTCTCCTCGTTCGATTGCGAATGGCTTGATGAAGATGGCTCTTTCTGTGAGACCTGAAGTTTGGCTAGGTCTTTTTGAGTCTCTGCCAGCTCTTGCTTGTCTCTTATAATCTGTACAGACCTGTGGACCTACAGAAATGCATCGAGTACAAATTTAATGATCAGTATCGAATTCTAAGTAATAAAAATCGATAACGAATACGGGGATCAGAGATGGCTGTCACTGTTTACATCTAAGCGTCGACAAGTGATAGGTTTGCAAACTAATACAACGTTTCTACATAATTATTAGAAACAGTGCATGCATTGTATCTATAAATGATCATATAAAATCAACTAAAAAACCACGTCACTTAGAACAGCCCAAGTCCACCGCTAGCAGATATTGTCCTCTTTGGACTTTCCCTTTTGGTATTCCCCTTAAGCTTTTAAAACGTGTCTACTATGGAGAGGGTCTAGCCCTTATCTGACCAGTGCCTCGCATCGTCTGGCGACTAGCTCTGATACCCTTTGTAACAATCTAAGCCTATTGCTAGCAGATATTGTCCTCTTTGGACTTTCCCTTCTGAGTTTCCCCTCAAGGTTTTAAAATGCGTCTACTAGAAAGAGATTCCACATTCCTCTTCGTTCACCTATTTCAAGGTCCTCAATTGTATTACTACTTCCAAACTTTAAAAAGTCATAAAGTCGTAGCTCACCTCTTGTAGATGCTTCTCAAGAGATTTAAGCTTCGAATCCACCTCTTCATGGTCACGAGCTACATCAGAACGCATTTCTCCAACAGATTTATCGAGGTTATAGCAATACAGTTCAAGTTGTGATAAACGCGAACTTATTCCCTCGAGAAAACGCAAAAGATTATCAGAATGCTTTTTCATGCTGTTCTCTACAGCAGAAACCACATCTTGAGTGATGGAATCATCTGGTTGACCATATGAAGCAGCAGCAGGGAATGCAGTAGACATTCTAACTTTATGAAAATCCTGTTCATATAAATACGTATAACACCAATTAATCACGAAAAGGTACAATTATATAAGAATAATAATTGCTTTAAATCTTCCATTCTTTCAGTTCATAAACCTAAACATTCACAAGAATTACTAAAAGATGCTAGAGAAACATATAAGATCCAAAACCACCTAAAAGAAAATGTTCCTCTTCAGGACACTCGTTCAAAAATTGATTAATTTCCTTGCACATAATGTATTCCTGAGCTTAATGCGCGCTCCACGGGACTCGATCAACAGCCCCGGTTAGGGGCACTCAAAAGCGCCGTTGTCAACGGTGCAATCTATGGTGCCTTGCAGCCCCAGTTAGGGGCACTCCTCAAAAGCGCCGTTGTCAACAGTGCAATCTATGGTGCCTTGCAGCCCCGGTTAAAGGCACTCAAAAGCGCCGTTGTCAATGGTGCAATCTAGGGTGCCTCCAAGGCATCCCGCCCCATTCCAAAGCAAATCACATGTGAACTCGCTTTGTAACAGCGTTGTAACAGCATTTCAACTCAAGATAATTTCCATAAATCTTAGAGTCTAAGAACAACATTCCAAAGACTAGTGAGTTCTTTTCACGATTCAAGCTAAACTGAATTGAAGAACTAGTTTCATTCTGGAGATTGGAAAGCACCAACAACGCTCGCTCAATTATAAACCAGACAGACATGTACTCTAGAACAAAGCTAATGCAAGATGAATCGCGTGGATTTTAATTCTCTAGCTTCGAAATGAAACTTAGATGTTACGAAATAAGAATCGAGTTAATTACCTCAACAAAACTTAGTGCTAACATCAAAAAATTACAAACCCTAATCGGACCTAACAACGACAAATCAAAATCTTCAATCAAGCATCCATAAATCAGAAATCTAAGAACAAATAATACAACAACGAACCTTGCTAGAATTGGTAACGGAGACGGGATCGCTGTGGCTACCGTTCGAAGTGTCTTGTTTACCGTAGTCCTCGTATGAACACAGGATATCATCGGAACCAAAATCGAAAGCTTTGGGGGCGGAATTGGAGCGACCTGCTGAACCAGACGCCATAAATCGCACCGAGTGATCGAAAGAACGGATTGAAGACCAGAATTTTCTTCAGATGCCTTCAAATCTAGGAGGACTTTGTTTAAGTAGTAATCATAAAGTTGCGTGCCAGGCACATTATTTCATTCATAATCTTGGGTTAAAAAATATTAATCAAGGTTAATTAAGCATAAAACAATAGGAGCAATATTAAAAATTAATATATTATTGGAAAAAGGAATTTTCTATATGAAATTAGATAATTAAATAACCAAATTTCTATAATTAAGAAGAAATTCATACAAGGTTTAAACTTTAAACATTACAGATACAATAAACTGTTCTTCGTATCTCACAAACCATGTATATACGAGGTGGGAGAACACTGAAATCATAAAAACCAGTCTTTTATTCAATGCATTAAAAAGACGCAATGGGTAGGCTGGTCGTGGCCGATACGAGCCTCAACGAACAAACAGGCGACTCCTCTATGAATAAAATTATGGTCACCATACCCTCTGAGGACCTCCGGGATTACTCAACCCGTCCAGAACGGCGTTGAAGTCGATAGGTTGGCCGCTCTCCTCCATCCTATGAATGACATTGGCAATGTGGTCACTCCTGAAACCCATGCCAACCAGTTTCTCGACTATTTCGCCGTAAGGATGGCTTTGGTTGCGCATAAGATGTGCATGACTCGGGTTCCTGGCGACGACGTGGGGGCCTGATTGCGGAGGAATCTGGAGAGATGCGTTGGCCGGAGGGTATACACCTTGGTTGAAGTGTGGTTGTTGTTGAGGTTGAGGATGATGGTGTGGTCTTCCGCTTTCCCTATCATACATCATATACGAACCTCCCGACGAAAGTGCAGGTTGGGGTCCGGAAGGTAAATATCCTTCTCCGGCTGGTGGTCCAAAAGCATTCTTGACTTGAGGAGGCTGCTGGGGTACGGTACTACCGCTTCCAGCATATCCATAAGGCACGGTGTCTACGCGACTTGAACCCGGCTGAGGCATAGGTGAAAATGTAGCTTGCATAGGCATGCTGTTTGGAAGAGTCTCTGGCATCGACGTTGGTTGATTCATCGAATAAGACAAGTAGACTGAAGAAGGTTGCGGCCTGATCTGAGGTTGCATAGAAGGCTGCTGCTGCTGCGGTGGCTGTACCGGTTGCGGGGGCTGCTGCTGCTGCTGCGTCGTCCATTGTTGTGGATACTGATTGAATTGCTGCGGCGGAGGCGTTTGACTTGGCTGGGGCAACCGAGAAACGTCTTGAAGTTGCTGCTGATATTGGCCCTGGGCATGCTGGATATGAGCGAGTTGATTAGGCAGGTGAGTTGAAGAGATGTAATAAGCTTGCTGTTGAGGCACATTTTGTGGCAAAGCTGCTGGAGGAGGCGGTGTTAGAGGATTTTGCTGTTGGAGAACTTGGTGTGGCAGGGCAAGAGCTAATTGCTGATTGTGATTCTCAGATGGATTTTCGTTCTTAGGATCCGAGGCAACGGGTGAAGCTCTCTCCTCGTTAGAATGCGAATGACTCGACGAAGGCGACTCTTTCTGCACGAGATGAAGTTTGGCCAAGTCTTTTTGAGTCTCAGCAAGCTCTTGCTTGTCTCTTATAATCTGGACAGATCTGTGGACCTACAGAATGACATCAAGGACAAGTTCGATTCAGAGATTATTCAAACGATCGTTCCAGAAGAAAAACCACGTATAACAACACGAAAATCAATATTTCAAACATTCCTAACCACCTATAGCAGGATAAACCAAAACGGAGATAACAACAGGAGAGGAGGCTCGTGATGTGCAACCACGGTTCGCATCAAACAAAGAAACGTCGAGTTTAAGACAAAACCAATTGAGTACTTCAGCATGATCAACAGATACAGTGCATGCCGTGTGTGTCTATAAACGATCATATAATATCGATAGAAAGCAATATTACTATTCAAAATGATGAAATACAATTTTAAAACGTTTAAAATTTCGTAACTCACTTCTTGTAGATGCTTCTCGAGAGATTTAAGTTTCAAATCTTCCTCTTCATGGTCACGAATTACGTCTGATCGCATTTCTCCAACGGATTTATCGAGGTTGTAGCAATTCAGTTCAAGTTGAGACAAGCGAGAACTTATTCCCTCCAAAAAACGCAAAATATTATCAGAATACTTTTTCATGCTGTTCTCTACAGTAGAAATCACATCCTGTTTGATAGAATCTTCTGGTTGAGCATACGCCGCAGCAGGATATACAGTCGACATTCTACTTTTGTGAAAATCCTGCTAAAACAAGTATCCAGAACTCAATCGATCGTGCAATAATACACATTGAATCCAATCTTATTGGATAAGGCGTAAAACCGAGTAAATGGCGCTTAGATAACGAAACGGATTAACCAAAAGCCTAGAAAACTTAAGACAATAAGACAACTAACAACACAAAAACACATCTAGTTAAGTTTTTTTTCAAGATTCAAGCCACAATGAACTAAAAACACCATTAATTTCCATGCAAGCTAAAGAAAGATCGAATAGTTGGAGCCAAATAATCTTATCGGCGTTCTTCCTCTGTAATTTCAACTCCTCAAGGACACCCAAAAGTCAAATAATCACACAATTTTTTTCACAAGAACATTCCACGAACAAGTTGCAAGTTTGTAAAACGGAAATACAATCAAGTTACAATACCAAAATCCATTGCTAGAATCTAATATTCTCTTCAAGAACAATTGTTCAAGAAAAAACTGGATTAAATCCCTTGCATCAAGTGAAAACAAGGAGCTTAATGACAAGATTTCTGAGCTAACAATAAAATTTTCAGAATCTGAAAGGAAAAACATCCATTAGACTTAGAACCAAGCTTTTCAAAGTTCAAGCTAGATCGAACAACTTACGAACCAAGAATATTGACTTTCAATATCAAATTCAACACGGATCTTCATCCCCAGCCTCAAACGCTCATTTCTTAAACCAATAATAATCAAACTCAGATGCTAAATAGCAAATCATTCCCCTCATCAAAAATCACGCAACATAAATCAAATAACTCCATTAACCACAAACCCTAATCGAGGAACACATCGATAATTCTCTCTCAAACATCCATAAATCCATAACCTAACGCAGAAAACCCGACTAACACAACTCACCTTGCTAGAATTCGCAACGGAGAGATCGGTATGGGTACCGTTGGAAGATTCCTGGTTACCGTAGTCCTCATATGAACAGAGAATATCATTGGAACCAAAATCGAACGCTTTAGAGCCGGAATTAGGCCGACCAGCAGAACCAGACGCCATAGATCACAGTAAGGAATCGGAAAATTGAAGCAAAAGCCAAAGGGTCGGCGACTCAAAGGAAGACGAAAGGGAAAAGGCTCTCTTTTTTTTTTTTTGCAATTATCGAGAAGAAAAAAAAAAAATTCTCCTTCAGACTTTTTCCGCGAAATGAACCTCCATGGATTTGTTTATACCTAACCTTATAAAAATTGATTTCGGTTTCTAAAAATTAAAATAAATAAATAAATAAATTGAAGAAACGTTTAATTTATTGGGTTGATTTGAAGTGTACGGCCAGATATGAAATTTGTGAGATGGCCTCGCCGACCATCTTCCGATTTTGCTAATAGGTCCTTCATTTTTGGTTTATTTCGAATTGTTGCCCTGCTCTGAATGATTGCTTATTAATCAATAATCAACCTCAATTATTGCCCTTAACATTTTGTAAATATCAGAAAATCTTAGACCAATCAATTCATGCCATCTTTTAAAAGACAATTTTACCCTTCTTGATATCGGAGTTTAACGGGTAACTATTTATTCTTCAGGATAGATCATAATATCTAGAGACAATTTTACCCTCTTTGATATCGAAATTTAACGGGTAACTATTTATTCTTCTAGATAGATCATAATATCTAGAGACAATTTTACCCTCTTTGATATCGGAGTTTAACGGGTAACTATTTATTCTTCTAGATAGATCATAATATCTAGAAACAATTTTACCCTCCTTGATATCGGAGTTTAATGGGTAACTATTTATTCTTCTGGATAAATCATAATATTTGGAGACAATTTTACCCTCCTTGATATCGGAGTTTAATGGGTAACTATTTATTCTTTTGGATAGATCATAATATCTTCTTATGGATGTAATACCCATAAATTTGACATAATTTTGACGGAAGAAAAATGCCTTCCAATTAAAAAAAAAAAAAAAGACGTATTTAAAGATTAATTCGTAGGTTTTAAAATATTTACCGTGGGTAAAAATTGGAAAAAAAAAATAGTAGGTATTAGAATATATTGTATATTAATTAAAATATAATAATTTGAAATTAGATTATTTTTTTCCTATTATATAGTAAAATGTTTGGAAACCAGCGAGATCCGATGATCAAGGGTCACATGTCATGTATGGTTTTTTTTTTTTTTTTTTTTTTCCCTTAAAATTGGTAATATTTTACGACATTTTAAATAAGTTTGAGAAATAAACTGTTTTGATTGAAATATTTGAAATTTAGTTTTTGAATTTTTTTTATTATATATTAAAATGACTGAAATACCCTTACACTATTGCTGCTATCATTCATGATTACCGCTCACTACCAATACGGTGACTACTTCAACAAAAGGTTACTAGATAAATGTTTTGTAATAATGCAATAGTGACTAGAATGTTTGTCTGTATATATAACGTCCCAGATCCACCGCTAGTAGATATTGTCTTTTTTGGGCTCTCCCTTACGGGCTTCCTCTCAAGGTTTATTCTCCTCCCCAACCAATGTGGGACATCACAATTTGCCTAGTAGATATTGTCTTTTTTGGGCTCTCCCTTACGGGCTTCCTCTCAAGGTTTATTCTCCTCCCCAACCAATGTGGGACATCACAATTTGCCCCCATTCGGGGCCCAGCGTCCTCGCTGCCACTCTTTCCTTCCTACATTGATGTGGGACCGCGCCCCCAAATCCACCTCCCTTTGGGTCCCTGCGTCCCCTTACTGGCACACCGTCTCGTGTCTATCCCCTTCGGGGAACAGCGAGAAGGCTGGCACATCGTCTAGTGCCTGGCTCTGATATTATTTGTAATGCCCCAGATCCACCGC